GTCATCCACGTCCCCTCACTCAGACGCACCCACCATCGGGCTGCCTTCTCATCCACATCCCCTCGCTCAGACATCCATCATGGTGACCGGAAGAGGCAGAAGGCCCTAGGGACAGGGTAATTCCACTGGGAAACACCATGGTGATTGTTACTAATCTGACAGGCAGAAAAGTCAGGGCATGTGCTCAGCGGATGGACCCGCTGTCTCTCCAGTCAGCACCTGTTATACTGCCAGCCAGAGAACCCCTCGAGCGCACACCACGAGCCTCCCCGAGAGCTTACGCAGGGCATCCCGTCTCCCATCTCAGGGTACTTTCCCACAATGCTTACGAATAGTTCCTGAAAGAGTACACTTTATAGGCAAATTCAACCAGAAGATCTCACTCTCCTTTAAAAACTGTACATTTAGGATAACGAGCTTGTATACGGTAACATTTTAAAACCCCAAATGTTTATATGAAAATGCTGGCAGTTCAGTTCTGAATACAAAACACTAATGAAGAAAATAAAGGGCCCGGGACTGCAGCCACATCAGCAAGCACTGGTGAGCGAGCCCTGGACAGATGCCTGCACATCTCCCCGCTCACTGCCCATGGGCTCCCCGTTCATGTGGGAATACGGGAGTGATTATGGATTCAGGTTCTGCTTTGATTACCAGCCACGTGGTGCACTGGAGATGCTGCGAGCATACGATGCAGGCCCTCCAGGAACAGGCAGTAAGGACGTGTAGGTGCCGGTGAGCCTGCTGTCACGGCAACGCTGAGGACAGGCAGAGAACACACCCAACACTGCTCGACCTGACCGCCAGGCCTCTCCACACCTCAGCCAGGGCTCCTGGGCTGGCTCTCTGGCCCCTCCTCGTTCCATTCTCACTCAGACGCTGCTGACCTCTTCCAATAGGGCCTGCGCACTTATACTTCCGACCCAGGCCCCTCCGTCAGCTCAGACCGACTGGACCCCACCACACAGCCATCTCCCAGGCATCACATCCTCAGAGCGTACACAACACACCACCAACAGCCCACCCACAGATCAGGGCCTCCCTGAGTCTGTCCCACCTTAGTTTTTCAGCTTAGGCAAACCTTGGTGCCATCTTTAACTCCTCCTCCTTCTCTCTCTCCTTCCACATTCAATGTCTCCACCTTCCAGATGCATCCAGCATCCACCCTCTCCTCCCCATGCAGACCTGACCCTGCCCCCCCCCGGCCCCACCCGCTGGCCCAGCCTCCTGACTGCTCTCCTTCTGCTGCCCTTGCCCCTCTGCAGGGCACTCTCAACAGAGCAGCCAAGGGACTCTCAGACGCGGGTCCGATCAGGTTACGCCTCCTCTCAAACCTCCCAGAGTATCACCCGCTGCACTCAGAACCCGTGAGTGCCCCAGTCCTTCCGGAGCGCCCTGGTCCTTACAGAGTGCAGGCCTCTCTGCCCTCAGCTCCTGCTCTTTCACCCTCACTCACTGCACACAGCCACTGCCCCCCCTGCCACCCCAGGTCAGGCCACCTGCCCTTCCTCCCGCTCCGCTTCTGGGTCCTGGTTAAACCTGACCTTCGCAGTGACACCTGTCCCCACCATCCTGGCCCCCGTTTCCGGCCCCCTCTGCTGGGCACAGCCACCCCCTTACGAGGACCTCTCTGCCTTGCTGGCCACTGTTGGTGTCACGTCTAGAACACTAGCAACCCCAGAGTGGTGGCTTCCATCTCTTCTGTCACCTCCCCACCCCAGGGTCCAGAACAATGCACAACACGCAGCTGTCACCATAAGCATGGTTTGTGGAACGAGCAGCTGTAAAAACTACCAGGAATTGTATTATATTCGATCAAGGGAGACAGAATCAGGAAGAACTCTAGGGACGAGAGGAAGACTGGGCCATCAATCATCCCTGAAAGGATGGACATCACATCAGAAGAAAAATACCCCGTACACCCTAGAAACATCTACATTTCCATCAGCACCAACCAAAAAAAACCACAAAAAACACCAAACCCATTGCCATTGAGTTGATTCCAACTCATAGCAACCCCCTAGGACAGAGTAGAACTGCCCCATAGAGTTTCCAAGGAGCACCTGGTGAATCTGAACCGCCGGTCACTTAACTACTATGCTATCAGCACCAACAGAAACCTTCAAATGCAAACACTGTTCCTACTTTGACCCCGCAAGTAACAACCTTGGCTGTCCTATCATAGTATCACGCAATCACACGACTGTGTCCTCCTTTTCACATTTAAGTTACTATTACTGGTATTAAACCATGTTTTCCACCTCAGCCGAGTCTCTCCATGGACTTCGGCAACCAAACAATAATAACAGTAATAAAATAAAAAAGTGGGTAAGTAAATAAGACCATTCTCCCTCTTCAGCCCCCCAGCAAACAGCACAACAGTTTCTGATGCATCTGATCAACATGCCGTTGGGGATTCAGGGCTCCTGTTTCCCTCCATCCGTGTAACACATTTAAGTGATAAGCTGCCACAAATCGTTGAACACGTTACTATTTCCAAGCTCAGACGTTACTGAATTTACGATGCGGCTGTCAGGAAAAGAAAAACAAGGCAAAAGAAAAACCCTAGAAAATGACAAACAGGATTAAACCAAATAAAAGTTTTCGCTTATAGACAGAGAGTGACTTGGACGAAGACAAAGCACTAACTACCAGGACTGAAAGTTTAAAATGCTCTGGAGAGAAAAAGCGGGCCCCGCACAGGGCTACTGGGCGAAAGGATGGTTTGGTACTCACTTAAGTCTCCAAAATGTCTTGTCAGCGATTAAGGAAGTGTCCCTTCTTGAGCGGAAGCATGAGAGGATAAACAACACCCCCATCCCTCTCCTCACCTACACGGACACTTTGTATTAAGACCCCAAGAACTTAAGATATGATAAATTCACTGTTTCTTTTTCAGCCACAAAAAAAGAAACTTGGATAATACAGTAGTTACTGTATATACTGTGATTATTGGAATATGTTTCTCGCCTCCAATTTACCAGTATAACTTTATAAAAGTGAGAGTTTCCACTTCTTCACTCTTCACTGCAGGGAGGGCAAAAGCGTTCAACGCCCGCGAGCTTCAACCACCGGGTACCTTGCTCACCCGCTCACCACGCTCGGGCGGTGCCGCCGCCAGCCGCTCCTCCCGTCAACAACCCCCGGCTGTCACTCCTGCCAGCCCTGGGGTTCACCAGCCTGTAACCTCGCGAGCGCTCCCGGTTCTAAACTCAACAAGAACTGCCGGCAGGACGGCGAGAGACATGAGCCACTCCAGCATGACAGCCGTCAAGTACGCGGGGAGCGGTAGGCACGTCGCCGACCGGACTTGAAAGGGAGCGGACTCCACAAGAGCCGCCGGGCCCTGCACCGCGGAGTCAGCAGACAGCGCCCCCGCGCCGAGCGCTCCCCGCGGGCCGGAGCCCAGGCGCGCCGGGCGTGTCCCCGGAGGGAGCGCGGGCGATACGGGCGGCGCCAGCGGCGCAGCCTTGGGACGGCGGCCTCGGAGCGGAGGCCAAGGGGCGAGGCCAGCGCCTGCCGCTCACAAGGCCCCAGCGCGGGGCAACTCCTCACCTGCGTCCATCTTCCCTCTCCGGCCGCTGACTGACCCGCGGCGGCGTCGCTCCGACGGTGCCGCAGCGCGACGCGGCAACGGGACGCCGCCGGGGCCAATCGGGACGCGGCGTCGCGGAGGGCGACGGGAGGATCCGGGGAGGGGGCGTGGGGGGGGTAGGAGGGGCGGAGCGGAAGAACGCGCCGGGCGTCGCCATTTTGGCGTACGGAGCAGGCCGCCGTGGACAAGCCGTTCGATCCCCGACCGGGCTGCTTGAGGACCCATCGCGGGGCGACACCAATCTCAGAGCGATCTGAGCCGTCTCTCAGCTATCTGATGGGCAGCTGCGTGCTACACACAGTGCCTCATTGTTTCGCAGAACCCCACTGAGAACCCAAGAAGGCCGCAGAGCAAGCTCGTCCCCGCTTCGCGCCGCACAGGGTGCCGCCGGCCGGGACCGCGAAGTTCCGGCCTGTGCGGCCATCTTGCTGTACGGACGGGCTCCGGGGCGCCCATGTCGCCGTACGGAATTGCCCCCGCCAGGGGCGGCTCCTTCGCCCACCCCAAGACGCCCCCACGCGCCGGCTGCTCGTCTCGTTCCCGGCGACTTCTCCAGGGCCGCGGTGGGGCCGCAGACGCGGCGCGGCCGTCGG